TTCTGCAGGCCGAAAACTAGGCCTGTTTCATCGCTTCCAGTATTTTCAGAAAAACAGGAAGTGATGAAACGGGGCTAGTTTTTGGCCTGCAAAGCCTGCAGAAGCCTTCCTCAAGCCTTTGGGAGGCCGAAAAAGGCCTCAAACTGGCCAAAAATCAGCTGTGAGGCGCACGCATGTGCAGTGAGGTAAGTTTGCCTGCAGCTCACGTGCTGGCACAAATGGCTCTGTGTGCCACACAGAGTGTGCACATGTACCATAGTTCGCCATCACAGTAATATAGCATACGTCTTGATGGGGAAAATGCCCCTTTAGCTCTCGGAGAGCATGCTCAGGTCCCGAGGGCTCTCGCCTTGCCAATTCCAGCTTAAAAGGGACAGCTCTGCCGGCTACACCTTAGCCCCAACACTAACCTTTCTGTCATGCTCTTCGTTTCACTGAAGTGCCTCCTGAGGCTGACCGCTTGGCGCCAGAGGGTGAGCAGCCGGCTGTGCTCACTGCTGAAATAGTCATTGAACGACTGAGGGGAGACAGAGAGAGAGAGAAAGGAGGAGAGCTCCTACTGATTTCTGCGGGAATTCTGAAAAAGGTACCTCGAGCTGTTGCCCGGCCTATTCAATCTGGAATGAATTCACTGCCCCTTCCTGTCCCTGCAAGGTCTCCAGCTCCAAACCTCTTCCTCTCGCCTCCACTCCGCCTCCCGCTGTTGCAGCTCCTCTCGGGCTTTCGTCCAGTCCATGGTCAGCTTTCGGATGTCCTCGCTGAGGGCCTGATTGGCCACGTTGGCTTGCTCCAGCTGTTCCCTCAGCATGGCGTTGACCTGGGCCAAACTGGCACCCCTGACGGTTAGAGGGGAAAGGGCATCATTGCTGTCAACTCATAAAGCATTCCTATGCCTGTTTTCGAGTTGCCATAAGCAGGAGGGAAGAAAAACCTGAAGCAGTACAGCAATTAAAACCAGAAGTACATTCCACACTTACCTTACTAAGATTGTAGCCTAGGCTACCGGATCTTCTGCCCTCTAAAAATCCTTCATTGGAGAATGTGATTTATGGCACCTAGCCCCTGAACGTGTTTGTTGTAGAATCTGATTTATGACACACCCAGGGGGGAGGGAGGAAATAGGGTCACAGGTGACCGTAAATTATGTGTGGCAGAGTTGGCTTCATATGGGTCTGTGCCGACATGTTGCTCCTAATAAATCTTTTGGATTCTTTTGAAGCTCGGTTCGAGGCTCTTGACTTAATTAGGGCAATCGCCGGAACCCTGACAGCTGCCCATGCCCAGCGGGACAAGGAAACGTTCACCCACACTTCCGGGACGGGTGCTGGAGGCAGTCCAAGGCAAAATGGACAGGCCAGGGAGTCAGACTAATGTAGGTAGTCCTTGACTTACGACCACAATGGAGCCCAACATTTCTGCTGTTAAGGGAGACGTTTGTTAACTGAGTTTTGCTCCACTTTACGACCTTTCTTACCACAGTTGTTAAATGAATTGCTGCAGTTGATAAGTTAGTAACCCGGTTGGCTTCCCCACTTTGCTTGTCAGGAGGTTGCAAAAGGAGATCACACATGACCATGAGACACAGCAACGGTCATATATACGAGTCAGTTGCCAAGCATCTGAAATTTTGATCCTAAAAGTGCTTTTTTTTCCAGGAGGCAACTGAACGTGTTTGTTGTTGTTTTGTTTGCTTTTGAAAACATCTCAGCTCTGACAGGATAGTGGGGAATGGCTGAAGAAGCTTCTTGGATGAGAAGCGAAATGTCTTCAAAAGACAAAAAATAAGAAAGTCCAGTTGCCTCCTGAAAAAAAAGCACTTTTGGGACAACCAAGACCAGGATGAGTTGAGAATCTCCACAGACTTCTATGATCATGGGGATGCTGCAAAGGTCATAGCTGTGAAAAACGGCCATGGGTCACTTTTTCCAGTGCTGTTGTCACTAAATAAACTGTTGTGAGTTGAGGACTAACTGTAGAGTGAAGCAACGGAGGCCGGGCAGTCATCG